TTAAGAGATTGTTTTAGCTCTGCAATTTCAGCCGCTGATTGTTCCAGTTTTCTATCTTCGATTAATAAATATGGTAGAATAGCTTGTTCTCTCAAATATTTATATCTTTCCTTGCACCCACCACTTTGGGGATTATATTCATAATAAAATAAAATTATTCTATTACTTTGCATTTCTTTCATTAGCAAAATAAAATTATTGGTATTAAAAAAATTATATAGTTGACCATTATTTGATCCTATCACTATTTTGCTTAATTTTTCATTTTTGCTAATGTCGATATTTTCTAAATTATCCAATTGAATATTGTCCTGAAAAGTGATTTTCCTAAGATTAAGAAAAGGTTCCAAGTCTAATCCACCTTTTGGTTGTTCGCGATTAGAATAAATAGTAAGTGCGTCATCCGAAACGGAAAAAAGAGAAGATTGACCATTATTTTGTATAAAGCTTATATGCTTTATTCCTTTTTTTTGATGATTCCTTATGCTATAAAATATCTCTTGAGTCATATTTTAAAATCAAGTACGAGTTGTTTTTAAAAACTTAATTGTTCAATAAGATCCTTTTATTTATTTTACTTTATTAATGAGAATGAAAGTTCATTACAAAGCGTCTAATCTAAACAACATTGTATGATGCATTCATGCATCATGTAAATATGTGAATTGGCATATAATAATGCAGGAAACAAATAGGATCATGATTTAAGAACTTACATGTCTAGCTGATACTTTTATTTAATCAATAACTTATCTAAACCATAGTACGTCAGCTTATCCTTAAAAAATTCACATTAGTGTATTTTGCGTTTAAACAAAGAAGAATATTTGCTCTTAAAGGATAGATTTCTATCTAGTGCTCCAAACTCGTACATGAATTTTGACAGTCTATTTTTTCCGGATGTTTTAATTAACCGAAATTTAGTTTAACTTCTGAGGAGCTTGTCAACGAAATGACAAGGTAGCCATTATTGCGAGATCAGATGACTTTATGGAACTACATGTTCAATTGGTCGTTAACTTTTTATGGTTTTTTTTTGTTTATGTCCTATATTGTTATGATTGATATGATACTTTATTAGATGCAGATAGTTTTCCAGTTAATATTGTGATTACACATATGATTATTGAGATACCGATATGAATTATTATTATCATTAAAAAAGGAAGTAAGGAGTAATCAGATGGTTCTGGCATGTAATCAGGAACCATCCAGTGAGGTAACTAGGTTATCGCTCTCTTCGATTTAGTTGGATTGACGAATTTTGCAATCTTTTTTTTTGAGTCCCGTGAGTCCCGTGAATTCCACGATTATATTGTAGGTACGTAGCTATCTTTTATTTGACATATTCTGTGGAACTCATTTATTATTTCTGATTATTTCTTATTTATTCATAGATTTTCTTTTATAGGCTCCCTTTACTAATGTGTATATTATGAATACACATGGAATCGTAACCTTGAGGGGGAATCGTAATTTCAACACTAAAATGTCTCCAAATTGTTTGCTTTTTTTGGGAAACCATAACTTATACGTAACACTAGATTGTTTACTTTTTTTGGAAGAAGCCATTGTTACAAATGCAACCTCTTGATCGTTTTTTTTGGAGGGGGACTAAGCCTTATTTTGTCTCTCATCGGGGGTTACAAATAAAAATCAAACGAAAAAAATCAATTATGGGTTATCTGCCCCTTCCGCTTTCGTGCTATAGCTACTAACAGTACAGAATTCGAGAGTATCGAATGAAGCGACTTGCACTACTATTGCAACAAGTGTTACTAAGATACATCTTTGGAGGGCAGGGCGAAAAAAACCAGAATTTTCTGGAAAAAACCCTGCCGCTTACCAAGTAAACTGGTGTCATTACTTCAAAGTAAAGCGAAAAAACTTAATGACTGCCGTCTCGGCAGGCCGTTGACTACAAGACTCGGTTTATGACTGTCATCTCGACAGGCCAATTTTTACCCCAAAACCTAAGAACCCTGACCGCTGTCCCGCCCGGTCATCGTTATTGTTTCAATAGTCCCCATTAGGGTTGGGTAGGGTGGGATGAAAAAACCAGACAAAGTCGGGTTAGCAGAAAAAACAGAAATTACCTTTCCTGGGAAAAAAA